CTTTCCCTATATCTCTGTGATGCTAATATGAAAGTTTATATTCGTTGGAATGAAATCTATGAATGCTAATGCTGTTTTAGTTCTCCATTTTTGGTTTCTAGTTTATATTAAGAGCAAAACTTGCCTATGATGTTGGCCTATTGAGAATGGGTTCCATCCTCCATTATTTGGACTTCGTATTTTGGTTTGGCTATTTGCTGCCGTACACGGTTTTCTTTACATTATTTCTACAATGTTCTTGTAGCCTCATGTGATTTTTGCTTGATGCCATATAAAAAAGCTATTAATTCTACAATCTCAATACATTTGAAATAATCACATATTGCTATTGTCCCAGAATCTTAGAGTGAATTGCTGATTGTTACAGTCTTAAGTCTTTGAAGGAATCTCTGATTCTACAATCTCAAAATCGCTAATTGCTATAGTAACCGAGAATTGCAAGCTTGTGGTTTTTTCTAGTCAGTTTTTCTGTCACTTGATTTTCCTTTTATGGTTATATTTGTTAGGAAACTATGAAATCTAGGATGTTGATTCCTATCAAGTAATAGTAGAATTGAAACTTGCAGTTTTTTAATAGATTTTGGAGGATTTTAGGAATTGTTGATTTTGTGCCCTACATGAGCTGTATATAGAACCTTTGAGGCATACAAAATTCAACAAAGAATAATTTTCGATAATTCTTAATGCGAATTTTTCAAGCCCTTTGCAAGTCTTGATGGCTACACCTTAGAATGAATCTCCTTGTACCAGCTTTGGATATTCATCTTCTTTTTGGGTAATTTCTATTCTTGTTTTTTGTTCATTTATTTGATGTATGATGTGCACTTATGATTGAAGTTTTACCAGATGTTCTACACATTAAATTTCTTTTTATGGTTTGAAATTGATTATCCTTAACATTTTATTTCATTTACTTTTTTTCTCAAGTTGCGGAATTTTTTCTACTTATATTATTGCTTGGAATGAGCGAAGTTTATCTGCCATTTTCTCATCAAAGATGACTAGTTTTAGCCGAATGTAACAGTTTGTAACTCGTTGACTATTTGTTTTCATGTTTTCTTTTTGCATCTCATCATATGTTGCATTTGATCTCACGATCAGATCACAAGTGAATGACCAATCTGACAATATGCAGTGTAAATGAAATCAATTCATATTATACCAGCCAGCCGCAGCTTTGGCACAAAATTCTTTGATTTACACATCTTTTTGTTCTAAATAGAACTAATTATTGTCCCTTGAGTGCGACTTTCTGATCATTACTGTATGATAGCTCATATTTGGAGGTTACTATTGTGTTTAGTGTTTGGGCCAATGAAAGGAACTGGTTTGATCCATCTTCTATTAGAATGAATAATGGAGTTCATGCACGTTAGAGATGACATGCTCATTGGAATATGAATTCCTATCAATTATGTTCGCCTGGATGTTTTTTTAAGTCAAAAGTGTTTGAAATACGGGGCATTTACATACCTCCCAATTCTCACGTTTTTGCATGCCTAACACCTTAACTTCAATTTTTAAATTTATACGACCCAAATTTTTCATATCATATAAAAATTTGAGTATTTAAACTTTTTAAGACCTAAATACACATTGTCATGCATTGGTAAGTTCTATATATTAAAATTGAAGTTTGTGTAGATATGTAAATATATAGAAAGTGCACGATATGTATGTAAATTTTCCTTGAAATATTCGTGTAAGACTGGCTTTTCTCAGCGCCGATTGTGTGCTGGTTGGCTAGGTATAGCGGAGCAGAAGAACATGTAAGTGCCATAGATTCTTCCAGGTTTGAGTTCAAGGAAGCAATGCAGGTGTTTGTGAAACTCCTGGTACAACTAATTCTGTCTGTGCAGAAACTGTTCTCAAATTTCTCATGTTTTCTTTAGGTTATCGGAACTAATCTTTAGAAATCTATTCCTCTCGAGCATCTTTTTATGAAATGGTCCCTGAACTGAAACTAAAGTTCCCATAAATATTCAGGTATTGCAAGCAGTGGTATAGGATTGCCCCTCAACGAATCGATCCACGTTGGTGGGATGCAGTTTTGGCACCCCTGAAGGAGCTGGAATCAGGTGAAACAGGAGGTATAGTTTATTTGGAAGAATTTCAGGAAAATGTTTCTTATGCTATGAAAGGGAGTTCTGAAGCTAATGCTAAGAAGCCACAGATCAGCAAAACATCTGAAGGATCTACTTCTAAGCAAATTATAGTTTCAAAGGATATTCAAAGTGCACTTAAAAAGCCAGATATTTCCACTAGAAATTCTCTCGAGGACATGGAACTCGAAACTAGGACGCTAACGGAGCCTCTTCCAACCAATCAACTGGTATTAACCTGCAGTATTATTACGCTGAACGATCTACTATTTTTTTCCTTTTTTTCCTTAAAGTTTCTTTTTTAATTAGAAAATTTACATACAATACCAATTAATTCCCAAGTACTTGCATATTTAACATCTAAACTTCAATTTTTTACATTTGTCCTTACCTATGCATAAGAAGTGTATTTCACTTTTTAAAAATTAAAATAGTATTATTTTTTATGTGATTTGAACGATTTGGGTTATATAAATATAAAAGTTAAAATTTATGTGTTAGATATGTAAATACATAAGAGGTTTTTATGTAAATTGTAAATGCCCCTTTTTTATTTTCCCTCATCAGGCATATAAAAGTCACCACCTTTATGCGATTGAAAAATGGCTTACCAAGTATCAAAAGCTCCATCCGATGGGTCCCATCGTTGGTTATTGCTCCGGTCATCCCGTGTATCCCAGATCCTGTGTTCAGACGGTGCAGACACGGCAAAAATGGTTACGCGAGGGACTACAAATTCGAGAAAATGAAATTCCAGCTAAGGTGAGATTAATAGGATCGGGCAAAACTATAAAATTTTGGTCTTTTGTGATCATTATAAGTGTTGAGAGCTGCAAAAAATGTTCCAGGTGATAAAGCGCTCAAAGAAGATAGAAAATGATGAAATATCTGATACTGGTTTTGCTGAAGAAGATGGAAAAAAGAGCATTGAACTGTTTGGCAGGTGGCAAGTGGAACCGTTGCAGCTTCCACATGCTGTAAATGGAGTCGTACCCAAAGTAAGATGGCATCTTTTTTATGGAGTCTTCCTATCTTTTTATACATATACTTTTTTTTTCTTAATTTAAACTGAGGCCTATTGCTTAAGATCCTCATAATAGTCTTATCTGATCATATTAAGCTGTGGAGGAAAGGAATAAAAAAAGAAAGATTTAAATACATAACACTCAATTCCTATGTATTTACATATCTAACACCCAAACTTTAATTTTTGCTTACATGCTTACATGCCACCTTACCTATGCCACCTTACCTATGCATGCAGAGACAGAAAATTTTCAGTGCTGGGGTACAAAATAACTTTTTAAGATATTCCCTCAAGCTTTGAAAGCTATATTATCATGAAAAATCTGAAAACAATTTTCTCATGAATTATCACATTTTTAACAGATTTATTTTTAAAAAATTAGAGGTAATTCTAAATTTAGATATGGCAACATTAGATAGTTTTTTTTTTTCTAAGAACATCTAGGAAAAGGAAGAAGTGGCATTTACATGCATACCACTTAAGTACTATGTATTTACATATCTAACACTTCATATTTAATTTTAACATTTATACCACCCAAATCTTTCAAATCACATAAAAAATACCATCATTTTTTTAAAGCTTTTAAAATGTGAAATAAACCATTTTATGAATTGGTAAGGTGACATGTATGTTAAAATGGAAGTTTTGGTGCTAGATATAATACATATGATTGGTATGTATGTAAATTTTTCAAAGAAGAAAATTATACACCATTCTTTGTGAAATTTGTTTGTACCTAATGGGCAAGGTCTTGTGCTCCTATTGAAAGACTGACCGATCCCCTTCGGTTGAACAGAAACCTGACGTTCGAAGGTTTTGGGTGATGATGGATTTTTCTATATTGTAGTTTTTGGAAGGAAAAAATAAATATTCCTCTTCAATTTCCTGAGACTCGGTTACAGGATAGATATCAGGGGAATGCCATCACATTACGAAAGCCATAAAATCCTTATGCTAGAAAAAGAAAATAGAAATTACCAACAATAGCTAATCCTAAATATTGAATCTACTAAAAAAAAGAAACTAATAAAAATAGAGGATACCGAATAAGGGAAAATTCCTAAAATTCTAACACCCCCATCAAGTTAGAGCATAAATATCTATCTTGCCTAACTTGCTTACAAGGAATTCAAAACTAGGCCTGAAAAGTCCTTTAGTGAAGATATCCACTATTTATCGCCTTGTCGCGATGACAGACATGCAAATAACTTTATGATTAATCTTCTCTTTTATCAAGAGTGTATCAATTTCCACATGTTTTGTGCCATCATGTTGCACTGGATTTTCTGCAATGCTTATGGCAGCTTTTGTATCACAATATAACTTCATTAGTATGCTTATCAAGATCCATAGCTCTTCAAGAATTCTCTTCAGCTATAACATTTTACATACTTCGTTTGTCATAGCTTGATATTCTGCCTCGACATTACTCCCTTGCCAACATATTTTGTTTTTTACTTCACCATGTAACTAGTACATTATTTAGACGTTGATCTCCTTATCAACAACTGAGCCCGCCCAGTTTTGATCGTTGTATGCCTCTTATTTTCTGTTATATGGTCTTCTGAAATAGTAAACTCTTACATTGTGTACTTTTTAGTTATATGAGAATTCTATTAATTGCTTCAAAGTGTTTCTCAAAGTGTGAATTCATAAATTGGCTTACCAAACTTACTGCAAAGGCGATATTTGGCCATGTATGTGATAAATATGTATAGTTTACCACCAACTTTTGATATTGAGTTGTATTCACTGGGTCGCTATCCTTCTCTTCTCCCAGCTTTTGATTGGGATTTGGAGTGTCTGCAGGCCTACAACCACTCATTCATGTTGCCTTTATAAGATCAGGAACATACTTTAGTTGGAAAACAACAATCCCTTTCTTCGATCTAACAATCTCCGTGCTAAGGAAATACCTCAGAGATCCTAAGTCATTAGTCTAAAAAACTAATGAGAGCGAAGACTTTAACCAATTCAGGTCATATAAGTCGCCTCCGATGAGAATTATATGGTCCCCATATCCTTTGAATGTTTGAAGAATATTATATAATATTTTTGCCCTCGAGTATACTCCTGACCTTTAACAAATAGTATAAATTTATCGAATCATGTTTTTGGTGACTACTTCAACTCGTAAGGACTTTTTTAGTTTACACAATTTTGTGTCAAACTTCTGACTAATTTCTAGAGGTGCATCTATGTACACTTTATTCTAGGCCCCCATTAAAAAATACATTTTTTATATCCAACTGTTGTTAGGGTCTATTAAGATTAGCTGCAAGTGACAGAAGGACTCTTACAGAATTTAGTTTTGTTATTAGACGAAATTTCTCTAAATAATTAATTTCATATGTCTGAATGAATCCCTTCGCAACTAGTCGAGCCTTGTATTGTTCTAGAGAGTCATCAAAATTATAACTTGACTGTAAACACTCATCTGCATTCGACTGTTTTCTTCCCTGTAGGTAGATCAACTAATTCCCACGTGCTATGTTTTTCCAGTTCTTTCATCTCTTCTAAGTCATCCTTATTCCACTTGGAAACTTCCAGAGGATCCTACACAGTGTTAAGAATCTCAGTACAAGGCAAATGTGGGGTAAAAGCTCGAGAAATGGGTGAGATTTTCATATAACACATAATGAGACAATTGATGTTTGGTGCGGATGACACCCTCGTAAAAACAGTGATGAGATGACTTGGATCATTAGATTTAGGACTAGGGTCAGGCTTAGGTTCAGGACTAGACTCTGAACTCGAAGATGAAGTTTATTGATCAAGGGATAAAGGCTTGGTGACAACATTACTTAGAGGATTCGTGGATTTTAGACAATGTAAATGATTTGTAGACTTTTTTTTGAGTTGTCTTTTATCGTGAATAGACAATGTCATGGGTTTTTTTTCATGTTTTCTATTTGGTAGTTGTTATAGGGTTTTGAACATCATAGTGATGATATCATACGAACATTTGAATCGTCTTCAATATCTAAAATCTTGACCCACTTTTCTCCTAGTAAATTATATTTGAATTTCTTGTTGAACAGTCAAGGTTGGAGAGAGATTATTTTGCGAGTCTTCGATTTGGAGAAAGTCTTAAAAATTAGTAGTCAAATATTTGTTCTGTCCCTCCCTCTTTGTTGATGAGATGAAAAAATGGTTGTAATTAAAAAAAAAGTGAGATCTATGGAAATATACTTTTTTTAGAAATATGATCAAAACATTTATATCCTTTTTGGGTGGAAGCATAACCAACAAAAGCACATATTATGGCCCGGGTTCAAGTTTTTTTTATAATTATTATGACTATGAATGTGAACAAATAAAATACACCCAAATACATGTAAATACAAATCAAAAGAAAACTAATTTATTGGGTAAATTTTATGAAAAATATCGAAGGTGTTTCAAAGTTCAAAACTTTGTTTGATGTTCTATTAATGAAGAATGTTGCAGTAAGAATGACTTTACCTAAAGATATTTTGACAAATGATTTGTAAATTGCAAATGCTCATGTTATTTCCAATAAGTGTTCGTTTTTATTTCAGTCATATCATTTCGCTGTGGGGTGTCGACATAAGTTTTAATTAATTATTCCTTTTTCGGAAAAGAATTGACCCAAATTATTTTTGACATACTCTCGGTTATTATCACTCCATAATATTTGAATAGTTTTTCGAAATTATGTTTGTATTTTGGTGTAAAAGTTTTTTAAAATTATTTCCACGTCAAATTTTTCTTTCATTAAATTCACCCATTTTAACCTTATGTGATCATTAGTAAATGTAATAGGTCAGTTTTTTTCATGGAGGATATTTACAAGGATCTCATAAATTTTGGGAGAGAAATACAATGATGTTCGGCAAATTGACGGATTCACATTGGAAAGATGACCAATTTTATTTTGAAATAAATCTAGAAAGAAGAATTTTAAATACTGAAAACTATGATGATTTAATCTATATTATCATTGCATATTATCATTAGTTTTTGAAACAAAACAAGAATTTAAACAAGTACTTTAACATTATCTATTTCCATCAAGTCTATCATTAAAATAATATTCTATGATTTTCCTTAGCATTGTCAATCATCCTCCTAGTGATTAATTTCTGAAACTCACATCAAGAAGAGTAGAAATTAACTTAATATTGATAATCAGAAGTAATTTTGTTAATAGACAATAGATTACATAATAAATTGGGAACATGAAGCATCACGAAGGGTTAATAATGAGATGAGTTTGATAGTTTATATCCTGACAATTATCGAGAGGAATCATTAGCAATTTTGACTCTTTAATTGTTGAACAATGTCTATAAGATTGAGAATAATTTAGAACCTGCCATGTGATTAGTTGCGCCAGATCAATTATCCAAGAATGAATAAAATTAGGGTTAACTCCTAATAATGCAGTGGCTAAAGAGTTACTTTTTTGTGTTGAAGTGCAAGACAGATTCAGTGATAATTTTGGAGATTAAAACAACTTGTGTGTGTGCTCTAATTGCTCATTCATGGAAGGTATTGCATCCAATTTGGTAAAAGGATCTTGAGTTTCATCAACAGTGGCTTGATATTCCTGTCCTTCACATTTAGGTTTTGATTTCCAATTTTCAGATTTACCATGAAGCTTCCAACATGTCTCATTCGTATACCATGATTTTTTTGCAATACTTGCACCACCATGGGTGGGGCTAATTGGTCTTTGAATTATTGGAACCAATAAAAACGGTAGACTTTGTTTGGGTGCCAGTCCTTGTTGATTTGTAAAACATTATCAGAATTGAAATGAGAAAACTCGTGATCAACAGCTACCTCGAGGGCAAAATATATGATTAGAGCCTTCTAGGAATAAATAGAACCCTTTTTGGGCTCAGGCTTCGATCGCGGGTACGAGCCTCGATTGCAGGTTTGATCGCGATAGAAGTTCGACGTCGTGTTCGGTTGTGATGAAAATACATAACTTTGAGGAGCTCTTGCTTTGACCACGCCTTCGAAGTATCCTCTAGCGATAACGATAGGTCACGAGCGGCTTCTTCGGGCTAGCTTTCGCTTCATAAGCGATGGAAAAATGGATGATGCTTCATGCTTCCAAGGAAGGTGCAAGATCAGAGAAAAGATAAGGTATTCATCAGGTCTCTGAATGTCGTGATTAAGTTGTTGCCTTCCTGGCTGACTCTAATCTCGTGAGGGTTTCTGAAGGTAGCGATCCGATCGTTTCCTTTGTAGCTAGCTTAGCTTTAATCACGACTGTCTCGCGAGAGGTTTCCAAACGGCGTAATTCATTCGTTGCCTTCCCAGCGAGCCCTAATTGTGAGTCTCTCACGAGGAATCTCTGAACGTGTCATGGTCCAGCCCTTGTCTTTCTGGCCACGATCCAATCAATGCCTTCCAAACAAGCTATAGTCGAGGTTGTATCACAAGGGGTCACCAAGACGATGTTATTTGGCGAAGCCGGCAGACGAAGGAGTCGCGCGCAGACAATCTCGAAGGGATTAGGTCGGCATTTTGAAGACGAAGATGGTCTCTGACATCATATAGTTTTTGGGAGGCTAAAAATAATTATTCCTCTTTAATTTTTTGAAACTCAGTTATATGATAAATAGCAGAGGAAGGCCACCACATTGGGAAATCCATAAATTCCTCATGCTAGAATAAAGTTCTGTTAGCCCCCTGTATTCATCACATGTGTTTACTTTTTTTAAGTTAAAGTAGTTGTATTTTAGATGTGATACAAAAAATTTGGGTGTTAGAAATGTAAAAGCCATAGGTTAGGTATTAGATATGTAAACATAGGAATTCGGAAGTATATATGTAAATGCTTCCCAAAAAGTACGATACACTGGATTAATTGTAGTGATGCTTGGCACTACCATGATATTTTATTTGTCCCTGCATGCATTTATGTGGATATTGTGTATATTTGGAGATAAAAGCTGTTCAGGTCTTGTGTTTGCTTGATATTACTTCACTTTTCAATGGATGGTGATAAAGGATTAATTGCCACCGGTTATTTTCTTTCAATGATATAGTTTGATGAACTATAGTATCTTTCAGTACTTAGGGCCTATTTGGGGCTACATTTTTAAAATTTTGTTTTATTAGTAGTTTTTACAATCAAAGCTGTTAGTATATGAAAGTTATTATCCAGCTTTTTCAGGAGTGAAAAATGCGTCCACTTTTTTAAAATTTGGTAGTGATATATTTTTACTTCTCTGTTTTAATTGCACTGTAAAAACTCAAGTAGCAAGATTCATTGGCCATATAAGCCATTGTTGCCATGTTTTCCATTTTATGTAGCCATGAGCATATGGAAGTTTAAAATCATTTGTCTTACTAGCTTTTGAAAAATACTAAATTGGCTCACTTCTGTAGAACGAGTATGGCCGGGTGGATGTATGGTCTGAGAAGTGCCTCCCACATGGCACAGTGCATTTGCGGCTACCCAGATTGGCCTCTGTAGCACGAAGGCTCGAAATTGATTTTGCAAGTGCCATGGTTGGCTTCGAATTCCGCAATGGCCGATCCTATCCTGTTTACGAAGGAATTGTTGTTTGTACGGAGTTTAGAGATGCTATCATGGAGGTAAATTTGAAATTATTTTCTGGGGCTTTTACATACTTGATACATATCACACAATTGTTATGTATTTATATATCTCGCAACTGAAGTTTCATATTTACACAAATAGCACTCAAGTCTTTAATATCTCATAAAAAATAGCACTTTTATCATTTTTTTAAAGTCAAATATATTTTTTTATGCATAGGTATAAAACACCAATGTGCTATATATACATAAATATGGAGGCTTAGGTGTGAGATATGTAAATACATAAGAATTGTGTGCAACATATTTGCATTTGCCTTACTCTTTAAGTGTTAAGTTTGATGCTTGCAGAATTATTTTGCCTGTTGTGAATCTTCCAGGCATACGCAGAGGAGGAAGAGATGAGAGAAGCGGAACAGAAAAGGAAGAACGAGGCAGATGCTCTTTCAAGGTGGTTTCAGTTACTCTCATCCATCATTACGAGGCAACGGTTAGAGAGTTCTTATGCCTATTCCATCACTGTGAACTCAAATGATCCTCCCATTCCGCACCGTCGTGATGGAGGTCCAAGTTTGGAGGGAGAAATTCAAGGAGATAATATTGAAGTTATTCGTTCACCTTATGAAGGCCATGAGCATGAGCATGTTTTCACATTGGAGAGTCAGAGTCTGGGTGAGGAGAGTTTGGTTCTGACGAAGCGGTGCCCTTGCGGCTTCTCCATTCAAGTGGAGGAGTTGTAGTACTATACAAATTGGTATGTGATCTGGTTTTAGGATGGTTTACATATGTAACTCTCTGTTCTCATGTATTTACATATCTAACACCTAAACTTCAGTTTTTACACATATGCCACTTTACCTCTACATGAATGCGTATTTCACTTTTTAAAAGTTAAAATAATAGTAGTTTTGATGTGATATCAAAGATTTGGGTGGTATAAATGTAAAAAATTGAGTTTAGGTGTTAGATATGTAAATATATACGAATCGGGTGGTATCTATGTAAATGCCCCCTTTTTTAACCTGGCCTAATCATAAGAGACTAGGTCTTAATATGTATTAAAAAAACAGGAAACTAACCGTTGGAGCGTAGTCTACTAGAGGAAATGTAAATTATAAAATCTTTGAATAATTTGTGATTGTTTTGGCTCATTTTTTGCTAAATTCACTTTTAGAAATTTGCTCTTTTGATTATGTAATATGGAGATATAGAGTTTGATATATTGATTCAAATTTGATCGAGATAGTTTTAATCATTAGATTTACTTTAAGATTAGTATAATATATGTCGTATCAGTTGAGTTTTATATTTCATTTTTAGAATGTTGCTTTCTGCTAGTGGCGTTTAGTCAATGGCAAAGACATGAACATCTTGAAATTTTTTCAGATCCATATTGCTCTTTCTCGACCTGATGGATTTATTTGGAGTTCCAGATTAATTTGATTGTAAACCATATTATGATTGATATATAATCAAAATTGTGACATTTTAGTACATTCTACAACAACTCAATTGAGTTGGGAGTTCAGCTCAAAATCATACTGAATCAAATTGAGAACCTGTGAGGGTTAATTGTGAGGCTTAATTAATCTTTTTACTGATGCCACCCTACAATGCACTTAATTTTTATGGCTTTTTGTCCATGTGCTTTATATCAGTATTTGTTGGGAAATGTATCTGACACCCATAATTTGATGTTTACACTTAGAAAACCTTGGTGTCATATGCATGAAATGTGAATTTACATGTAGAACTCTCATATAGACATCACATGAATTTGTGGGCTCTTTAGTACATGACAATTGATGGTGGCACAAAATTTCCATCGTCAGGGTGGTAATGCAATTTGAATTGCTCTCATTTCAAGTAAATTGTAAAGATCTACCTTAACATGCTATGACCAAATGGCTTATAATAGCGCAATGAATTAACCAAATGGCTTATAGTAGTATTTGTCTAACAAAAGCTTTGAGAAATTCAAGGTTTAGGGTCTGCTTGGGGCAGGTTGTGCGTTTCAGGATAAGCTGTTTATCTTGAAATGTGGCCCGCGGGCTAGCCGTGGCGGTCGACCCGCGGTCTGCATTTTGTGTAAAAATCCAAACACAGTTTTGGATAAGCTGGCGAAACGTGCGAACCAAACGGTACGACGGAATTTTGAAAACGCCGCCCTCACTTATAAGCTGCCTCAAACGGACCCTTAATTGTATACTAATTAAAAAATATGGCAAGAGATTAATTGTTGCTCGCAATTAAAAAAACTCATGACTATAAAATTAAACATCTATGGACACATTTTTTAAACTAGGAAACATTCTATTAGAGATCAAACTAGAAGTAGATGAGGAGGAATTTGTGGCTAATATAACTGTCATAGTCTCTGATTAGGCATATTCTCCGATTGGGATCCAAAATAGATTATTCATGGCCCGTTTGGTATCAATTTTGATGCCAAACAAGTCCTTAGTTGTCAACGGCAGCTACAATCCTTGGCAGTTCAATCTATACCAAGTGCTCAAGTGTCCCACAATCAACATTTTCTCACTTATGTATGGATCACTAGCATAAATAATTTCCTCTTATGTTATGAAGCTTGAAGAAGCCTAGTGCTGAGAGTTTGTGATGATGAAGACTATAGAGACATTCTTCTGGCTTTAACTGAAGCCTCTGGTTTGGATTGTTGAGGCTTGAATTGTTGCGGTTTAATGAAATATGTAGTTTGGCAATCTTTTTGTTGCGTTTGATTCATAAATAGTACTTTGTTTCTTATATGGTTTCATGAAGTTCATATGTTAGTGCACAAAATTTGATGCAATTTTAAAATAGTTGCCTGTTCGATCTTAAACTATAGTGAATTATGGTATAGATTAGATGGTTCTAAGAAGTTAAGAATGCTGAATTTGAATATATAAGAACTTAAGAAAACTCAAAAACATGATAAAAAACAATCAGCCTTGCGGCGGACGACACTCCACTGTTCGATTGTGCCCAACACTAATTCACTCATAATTTGTTGAAGTGATTCTTTGATTATTGTAGCTTTTCACATCATTTGGGTAGCGAAAATATTACGTCCTGATGACGATGTGCGGACAATGGCGTGGATCGCACCATGATGTTGAAGGCACGGCGTGGTGCGATCCATGCAGTTGTTTGTGAGTCTGATTTAGCCGACGTAATACTTTCTCTCCTAAGAGGAATAGGATCTAAACCATTTATGGAATCAGATTTCCTTGAATGAGATAAAAAATTTTCATTAAAATGATGAGCTACCATGATCAAGCCGCTAAATTTTGATAAAGAATATAAATAAAAACTCTATAAACAACTATTATCCTAGGTAGGGGTGTAAACGAACCGAACACGAACGAACAGAGCTTGTGTTTGTGTTCGGTTCGTTTGAAATTTAGGTTGTTTGAAATAAACTCGTGTTTGAAATTGTTTGTGAAGTCAATGTTCGAGTTCGCTTCTTAACGAAAGAGCCGAACACGAGCTGTTCGCG